GCTTGATCTGTGTTGGTCAGAATTTAGGATTATAGTCTCCTCCTTTTCTAGACATGCTACCAGAAGGGAAACTGCAGAACGTGATGCGTAACGAGTTTAGCGCAGAAGACGCTGCAGGCTGGAGGCCCTTGTGGTTGGTACGTTATGCGGAATACTACAAGAATCGGGGAGTGGTGCGCTCCAAAGGCTACACGTTTTTTGCTGAGCGCGATCTTTCCGCTTCCGTGGCTACCACTGGGGACACTGCTACATCATCTGCAAATGGAGACCAGCGTACCTCCTTCTGAGTTCCACCTCATTCACTCGCTCACTCTTACGTCCCTTTCCTTTTATTTTCCCTCTTTTCAGTGTCTACTGAAGTATATTCACATCATTACTTAGTCTGTGTTAGCGCTTTTGAATGGGCTAATTTGGTCTTTTGGACTCGTTATTCACTAACATCTTTTTTGTAGCTTTAAATTTGAGCAACTTGGGTGTTTGTATCAAAACAGCACGCGCATTAAATTGGTTTAGGCAGTGTAATCATAGGTCGGCGGTTCAAAAAAGATGAAAATTAGGTAGCACCTTGAGTGCTAAAGCTATGAGTCGTGGTCAGAGAAGGGGTATTCATATGGCTAGAAATATTTTGTGGGAGATGCGACTTTAGCCGTCACTGTTGCATTAGAAAGGAGGAGGCGGCATAAGCAGATGCAAGGTGCGATCATATCGCTGAGGTTTTAACAGTACCAGCCCGATCTAGAGTATTCGATCTCGGTTCTTTTCCAATGGTCATAGGTTTGTCATAATACAATTGTTACAATGCGTGTTGTTCGTCCTAGAAGTGCCTTTTATGGTGGAAGGTGGGGAGTGACTTCAAAAGTTGCGTCCGGAAAGTTGACATGCTCGACCCTTGGAACGTTAAAGGCGCCATCTTTCCTATCTTTCCTTCTTTTATTCTCCATTTCCTGGCCTTAAATGCTAAAAAAATCACATGCGCACAGCCTATTGAGGAATCAGTTGGGAGGGAGTGGACGATAACGATGGAGAAGATACAAATATGCCCTTTTCTTTCAAACGCTGAAGTTTTCAATTTATTGTACTTAAGAGTGCAGTAAAGAGGCACAGGTGCAGTCTCTTCACCACTATCTTCGGAGATCCGTCTAACTTTTTCCTCAGAAGGCTGATCACTTGTAGGGGGTTCGCTAGACCTCTCTGAGTAAAGGGTATAGAGCGAAGCAGTCAGTGCTTATGACAGTATGGAGTTAGTGTCTGTTGGTTTCTCAAGCACGGTCTCTTGCCTGCGATGCACATTTTAAACGATTCACATAAACTACAACAGGTTTAGAATTAAATGGGTTTCTATGAAAGGAAATCGTAGTGACAATTCTGGTCACAGGATTAAAGGTAATCAGCAGC